CTTCCTTTCAGTTTGATAAAATGTTTAGATGTCCATGTTCGAAGCATAAAAATCTAGCATTTCTCAAGCCCGATGATATGAAGGTTGATTTATATCGTAGGGGATTTCTTCCAAACTACTGGATTTGGACATCACATGGCTAGTACGAGCCACACAGAGATGCTCATGCCGGTTCATCTACAGCTTATGAAACATTTGATGAAGATTAAAAGAATAGACCCTATGAAGAATTATTTTTTAAAGTAGCATATAATAATTTAAGGTCTAGTACGGAAGAGCCACCAAATGCAGAAACACAAAAATTCTTTGAGTTATTACATTCAGCTCAAACGCCATTTTGGGATGGTTGCAGTACACATTCAGAATTATCCATTACAGTGAGGATGCTAAGTATTAAAACTGAGTATAATATTCTCCGCGATTATTTCAATGACTTTATTGGTCTTATGAAGGAAACTAAGCTAACGGATAATTTAACTCCTTCAGACTTGTATAGAACGAAGAAATTAGTATCCAAGCTGGGTCTCACTGCTACAAAAATTGATTGTTGTATCAATGGATGTATGCTATACTACAAGGATGATGTAGCAGAACATTTTTATTGCACCTGCAATGCTCCTCGGTTTAAGCCAAACTCGGGAAAGCAACGTCATCCAAAGAAAGATGTGTCATACTCCCATTTATTTTATTTACCAATCATTCCAAGACTTCAGTGACTCTATGCATCAATGAGTTCAGCAGGCCATATGAGATGGCAAAAGGAGAAAATAGCAAAAAATGATGTTTTTCTCATCCATCAGATGCTGAAGCTCAATGTTTGTTGTTGACTATAACTATCACTCAACATTAACACCAAGATTTATAATGGATTTCTTTGATCTCTAATTTTTCTTCTAAAAGGATAATGAATGAATATATTACAATGATATCTTAAAGAAAAATTTAATGCTTCAAAGCTTCTCTAAGTTTTACCTTGGAATCCATCCTCCTCAATTCAAATGTACTACATTGTATCAATGCCTTCTCTGATTATAATGAAGGGCATCATTTTTAACATATGACATACACTAATTGAATTATCTCAACTAGTCCAAGCCATATGATTTTGTCTTTTGGATTTTTCATGTAAAAACTTTAATTTTTTCTTATTACTTTCTTCTATATATATGCCTATTGGATCTTCATATAAAACTAATATGCTAAACTCTTTCACTCTACCATTACAAAGATTCTAACACTTGACAAGCATGATGCATGCTAAGAACCAACTAATGAATATGAAAAACCCTCCTTAAGTAAAAAAGAAGCTAAACTCCTAAACATTGAGGTGTTTTTTTGTATAATGATTAGAGTTTTATTAAGAAACTTCAAAGTTAAGCATGCTGATGTAAAAGTAATCTTGGAATGGGCGACCTCCTAAAAGTTATACACAAAATCATGAGGCTATTAGGCCAAAACGGACAATACACCGATAGTTAAGAGTTTAGATTATTAAAAAGTGATACACAACAATACACTAAATAGAAAATGGGAGCTATGTGTCATACGAACAAAGTGATACGCCATGGGAGCCACCTCTTGAACCTTGCATGGAAAAAAGTGCTATATGACAGTAGTCATCACTTGAACTTATAAAGGCCACCTTTAAATTTTATCAACATGTTGGATGATTTTGAGATAAAGTTATTAACGAGAACATTATTTACTTGATTGATAAATTCCATTCATGACTCATTGCTTAAATTGATGAGAATTTGCTTTGGCAATGCACTTCCTATGGGAAGAACTTAGTCCTCCCCATCTAAAGGGACTTGTGAAACCATTGGTGTTCCTAAGTCACAGGTCCCCTACATATCAAATCTAGAAATAGTCCTATATTTGAATCAAAACTCTCTATATATTTAATTAAACGTCTCTCATGAAATTATTCTAAATTCGCTATCAAACTTTCTCTCACTCTCTTCTCTCGTGCTTGCAGTCAAATCTTGATGTTTTCAACATGTAATATTGAATTCATGGTAGCTGTCCAAAGTACTTTCTTGTATGTCGGCAGTGGTAGTTAAAAGCCAAAGCTTATTCAAAGTCCTCGCCAACTACTTAAGAACAAAGTTTACATTCTTGCTAGCTAGCAAGCTCCCAAGTTGTTATTAATATTATTAGTACTATTTTCTTTTTTTTTATTATTATTATGATTATGATGAGGGGAAACGTTTGAATATTGAAAATAAATTTAAAATATTCTAATATAAGTTAAAATAAAATAAATCTAAAATTTACTTAATTTATTTTGAGATTAATATTATATATGAAGATGTTATATTCTATGAATTTCAAATTAAATTTAATATATTTTAAATTCATTCAAATATAATTTATATTGAAATATCCTGACAAACTTTTTTTCTTATAATAAAGAATTTTTATTTTCTTCCTTGATACTATTTATTATTATTATTATTGATATGTGAAGATAATGCTGTGAGAGTACAGTATGATAAAGACATTCAGCCACATAATTCTTTCCCTTGATAATATTTTA